CCCCCAAGTGGCATAGAAGACTCCTAGTATCGTTGACAAAGGACATCTCTCTGTGCCTTGGTTTCCCTATCAAAGTGAGCTAATGTTCTTTCTGACATATTTCCTGGCAAATGAGGTGACTAGAATGGGAAGGAATCCCTGAGAGACCAAGGGACACAGGAGTTGGGGAGGGGCCAAGGAGGGGGGAGGAAAGTAGGTGGAAGACAGAGAAGTGAAGAGGGGAGACAGGGAAGGAGGGTCAGGTCCCTGAGTGAGGCTGATAGACAGGATTGTTGCTCCTCAGTGGGGAGGATAGAGTCCTGCAGGATGCAGGAGAGGGGCTGAGTCAGCTGGGCATCTCTCCATCCCCAGAGTCTCCCAGCCACCCTTCCTAGGGCCCTGGGGCACTGGCTTGTAAGCAGCTGAGCCCACAGCTGCTGGGAGGGGGGTTCCTCGACAGAGGCCTCCTGGCACCTGCCTTGGTTTATTTCTGGAGCCACAGCTGAGTCATGGGGGTGGGGAGAGTGAATGCGACTGGGGGTAGAGGAGAAGGCTGAAGGGGAGGAAGAGGGCTCTGGGACCTGGGGTCCATCTCTGTGAGCCAGAGCATCAAGAATAGGAATTAGATTCCAAGATCCACATCAGAGCCCCTAGCATAGAGGGGCCTGGGGAAGAGATCAGGGAACAGGAGGCAGGTCTGCTGCTCCTGGATTGTTGGAGAAGAGACAAGCCTGATCTGGGTATGGGGATGCTGTGTTTTAAAGAGGGGGGAGAGGACAAAGGAGGCCCCTGAGGTGGAAGGAAGCAGAGAGATGGTGGGGATCTCAGCACCATGAGAGAGGAGACAGAGAGGACCATGTTTTCCTCTGCTTCTAATCACAGATTCTGTGAGCTCTCCCCTGAAGCCAATCTGTCCCTCCCCCTGCTGCTGGGCCAAGCAGCCCCTCCCCTGGTTCCTGTCAACCTCCTCTTTCTAAGTTTGGCCTGCAGACTCAGGAGTGGGGTGTCTGGGTCCTTTCTTCATCCACTGGAGCTGCATTCATGAGAAGCTTTCTCTTTTCCAACTCCCAGGGAGACCTTCAAATCTAACTTCCATCCATCCTGCTGCAGGACCTGTCCTGGAACTTAGCCCTCCCCTGTGGGGTAGGAATAGGGTTTAGTAGGGATCCAGGGGCCTATCCCCAAGTCCAGAGTCCTCTTGGGTTTCCTGGACTCGGGTGGGTTTAGTTTCCACTCCCTCCCCCTTCTATGGGCACCCCAGAGGGCACATTCCAGCTGAAATTAAATCACATTCCTCCTCCCCTCCCTGATGAGGATGGCATTGCTGACAGCAGCTGTGACACCACAGGGTCAACTGGCAGCAACTGGTTCCCTAAGAAGGGGCTGAGAAGGGGGTGCTGAGGGGAGCTGAGGTACCAGGGCCTTTCTTTGGAGGCAATGAACGAACTCTTTGCTCTCAAGAGGCTGGAGCAAGAGCGGCAGACCCTGCAGTGGGAGGGATAAAGGTTAGATCACAGGATGTTGTAGCCGCGTGGAGCCTCTGGGAATTATCCAGTCCAACCAGCGTTGTACAAATGGGAAAACCAAGGCCCCACAGGGGAGCGGGCTGTCCAGCATCACCTTCAGAGAGGACCCTGGAAGAACACCTTCTTCTCACTCTGAGACTGGGCTTCCACACAGAGAAAAGCTGAAGGAGCCCTTTAAGAGGCCCCACTCTGAGTTCTCTTGGCTGGAGTCCAAAGCCAAGGCCTTTGATTTCCTCTGAGACTCTGGTGGCGAGGTGGTGGCAGCAGCAGGAGCAGGGACAGCATCAGGCTGGGCTGAATGGAGAGCCCAGCCCCTGACCTCACCCTCCCAGGCTCCTCAGCCTGCAAAGCCTTATAAGGAAGTGCCCCAAACAAACTGAGGAAGCCACCTCCGGCCCCCCACCCTGCCCCCGCCCCATTCAGAGGCTATATTTACCCAGAGGAGGCCCCAGAATAACCTCCCACTTGTCCTCGCACTGTGTGGGGGGGGCGGGGGTGTGGGGGGAGCTGCTGTTCCTCCTCAGTCCCTCCCCTGGGAATGCCACCCTCAAAAGTCTGTCCCATCGTCATTCATTCATTCAATACATTTTTATTGAGCACCGCTGGGCTTCCAGGCACTGTGCTAGGCTCTGGGTGATGAACAGGACAGAGTCATTGCTTTCCCAGAGCTTTCTACAATGATGGGGTGTTCAGAGATGCTATAGTCTTTTGGTTTTCCTCCCACTCTTTGGCCTCTCTTTCTCTAGCTCCTTTCCAAGCGTCTCCTTTCTGTTGGGAGTTCCTTGGGAGCTCTGTCCTGAGCACTCCTCATTCTATAAGCTCCTTCTGGACCAATGACCCCTAATTCTCATCTGCAGCCTGCTCCTCTCTCTTGAGGTCCATATATCCACCTACCCCCAGGGCAGCTCCTCCTGGAGGTCACAGTTTTCCTCCGGGATTCTCCATGTCAGAAAATAGTACCACCATCTCCCAGCTGCCAGGCTGAAAACCGGGGAACATATCCCCCGTCCGTCACCCACAATGAACCACAGAGTCCTGAGATTCTACTTCCCTTACATATCTGCTCCGCCCCACTGCCACCATTGTCCCTTGCCCTGACCTCCACGGTAGCCTCTCTGAAGCACTGCTGCCCACTCCAACCCATTCTCACATAGCAGTAAGAAAGTTTTGTTTAAAATGCAAACCTGGCCATGTCACCTCTACTTAAAACCCTTCAGAGGCTCCCCATTTCCCTTAGGAAGAAGTGCATATTTCCTGGCTGTCTGGAGAGGCCTCTGCTCACTGACCCCTGACTCTCTCTTCAGCCTCATTGTGAACTTCTTCTCTCTCATTCTCCACCTTCTGGCACACAAGCCTTTCTTCTGTTCCTCAAATGCCCAAACTCTCTCCTTTGCCTCAGGACTTTGCACATGCCGTTCCCTCTGACTAGAGCCCTTTTCCTCCCCCTGCTCTCACCTCTTCCTCCCCACGCTGCCACTCCTGCCCCTCCTTCAGGTCCTCAGGACAGTCTTCCCCGACCACCCCCCCATACTCCCCCAGCCCAGTCCAGTGAGGTCCCCTGCTCTATGCTCCCATCACCTAGGGCACTTCTCTGTTTTCAGATATAATTTCCACTCAGAAGCCCTTGTTCAATTAATAGGCAAAGCTTCCTGAGAAAGGAAATATGTTATTTGTTGCTGGATTCCCAGTGCCTGCACAGTGCATGACACAAAGTACGTGCTCGGTAAACAGCAGTTGAAAAATGACAATCACTCCTGTTATCACCGTCAGGAACATCCCTGTTACTGTCCAACCCTCATTTCTCTTGCTGCATTGACAATCACTTCCAAAGGGAGCACAACTCCCACTGCATATCCCCTTTTTGAAAGTCCTCACTTCTCTCTTACATCCTTCCCCCTATTTGGGATTATTGGCAGCAATGGCTGGCTTGGATAACTCTAGTGGACCAGGGGCCCTATGTGTGGGCAGGATGGACACCCAGCACAGGGAAGGACTGCTTGGCTTGATCTCTGTCTTCAGCCCTTGTCCAAGCGGGAGTGCCTGAGGGCCTGGGGAGATCAAGCACAGGGCGCCTCTGTCCCATTAGAGGGGAGTGGGCCTTACTTGCCTGGATGCCAATGTGCTGGCCCCAGGCCTGGAGCCTGGCGGGATCAGACAGGGCCTTGTTAGCTGTGGGTACAGGAAGGAGAGAGAGGAGGTTTGGGTTGCCAGGAGGGTGGGGTTGGGAGAGACAGGATCCTGGACCTGAGGGCAAGGGTGCGGGGGTGGGAGTGTGAAATGGAGCCTGGGTACCCCACAGAGACTCCGGATGGAGAAGGAGAGAGACCTGGGCAGGGAAGCAGACAGTGAGAGTCTGTCAGGGAGGCCTCCTGGCCACCCTCCTTGGCCCGATGACAAGAGTAGGGGCCAGAGGGGCTGGGACTTCACCCTCTCATCTTTCCCCAGCCCTCAGCCTAGAGCCCAAGGAGAGGAAGAGCCTGCTCCCAGACTTGGGATTGTCTCCAAATGTGGAACATTTGTTCGGCAGCCCCTACCCCACCCCCACCCGGGATATTTAGAGGTGTCGCCAGATCTTCCTTCCCCACAAAGCTGAACCAAGGAGTGGTTTCTATTTGGGTATCCTGACTTCAAGGCCTTCAGGCGCTGTCTAATCCGGGAAGCGCTGGTCCCCTCCCTGCCCTACACAGGGCCCCCGAGAATTCCTGGGAAGGGGACAAGGGTGGGGGTAGGGAGCTGTGGCTGGGTGGAACCTTGGAATAAACTGCTATTAACACCACATAGTTGTTATCAGCACCCGCCCCAGCTCTCACTTCCCACCGCTTCAGTCCGCCCCCCTCTTCACCTCCACCTTCCCTTCCTCCTTGTCTCCTGCTTCAGCCCTGAGGACCGTCCTGCTGAAGGTCTCAGCTGCAGCCCTTAAGCTTCCCCTAGCCTCCCTCCTGCCTGCGCTACCCCTTCACTTGGCCCAGCCTCCCTCCTTGTGTGGCTGAGTCTGAGGTTCAGAGAGGTTAAAGTGACCTGAGGCCACACAGCCAGACTAAGGCAAAGCCTGCCTCCCCCTTCCCTCACCCTGCTCTGACCCAGCCATCACAGGCCAGACAACTGTTTGGGTTTGGGGACAAGAGGGCTTATTATGCTGGCGGCACTGAGACGTTAGTGGGGAAGATATGCTGGGGGGGGAGGTCCCAAAGCCTAATCCCTGTAATCAGTGCTGTGGGCAGAGATGATGACAGGCGTGGCTTCTGTAGGCGCTGAGGTCACCTGGACTGGCTTTCCCCTAGCCAGGCAGCGGCCCAGCCTTCCCCAGGCCCCCAGCACTGCTGCCTGCAGCCTTTGTCTGCCTTCATCTCCCCCAGCAGGCCTCCTCCTCCTCTCCTCAGGAGACAGCCCCCCCAACACCAGCATCTCCAATTTCCTCCCCTGCAGTCTCCCTGCTGTTTCTGCTCCTGAGCCATCCCTGAGAACCCCACTTGAACAAGAGAAGAAAGTCCAGACTTTATAGGCAGAGGCTTTACTTTATTCAGGCAAGGATGAGCCAGACAAGGTCACAAGAGGCAGGGATGAAGGGGTTCAAGACATGGGACCACCTCTCCCCTCCATTGCCACAGGCCAGACATCCCATGAGGGCGCTGCTGCTGTAGTGAGTTGGGGCGGGGCTGGTGAGCCCTGGCACAAAGACCACCACAGCCCCCTCCCTTCGGAGGAACCACTGGGCTCCAGGCCTTTCCCACCTGATAGGATGCAGAGCAAAGGGGGCCTAGTTCTATAGGGATTCTGCTGACTTAAGCTTATGGGATGTGCAGGAAGGATGTCCCCTTTGCAGGGCCCCAGGTTTTCATTCCTAGAGCCTCCATTCTTGGGACGGGCTCCTGTGCCACACCCCATTTCACCTTGGCCAGCCAGGCCTCTAGGACAGAAACTGCAACTCCAGAGATCATAAATTAAGGCTGCTGCCCCTGAGCAGGGAGGGGGCTTGAGGACGTCTTCCCACCCCCTCCCCGCCCCAAGTCCTCAGTGTGCAAGGAGCGCTTTCTCTAGTCTTCCCCTGAGGACCAGGACTCTCCATCTCCTTCCCTCTGAGTGAACTTCAGGAACTGGCCTGGGCCCAGGTGAAGAGAAGCCCCTGCCCAAGGGGTCTTCAGGGCACCCCTCTCCTCCTCCTGTAAGGGGCTCCCTTGGGCCCCCTTAGGGCCCCCCAGTTTTCCCTGCCCCACTCCCTCAGACTGCTCCAACCCATTCACCACCCCCCCATTCACGTGCTCTGACTCTTCCAATTTGGGGCCCCGGCCATTTACACCATGGGTGTCCCCTTCCCTGGAGCCTGTGTCCTCCACCTCACTGGGGGTTTCCAGAGGGCCAGGGACTTCGTCCTCTCTCTCCAAGGGAACAGGGTCAGACTCTTCCTCTGAGCCAGAAGGCTCAGCACTGTCCTGGGATTCCGTCTCCAGGGCAGTCACGGGGGCATCGGCCACCGTGCCCCTCAAGCCATCATCCCAGGGGACACTGACACCCACAGTGTCAGACTCCAGGAGCTCTCCTCTCTGAGGGCTACTAAGGACATGGAGGCTGCTAACGGAGGACCCTGGCCCCCACTGCCCAGCCCCTGGCTCCATTCCCTCTTCTTCATCTTCTTCCTCCCCCTCCTCCCCACTCTCTTCCTCATCCGCAAACCCATCAGACTCCCCATCCCGCTCCCAGGCAGCAGGCTCCAGTAACAGCGGAGCCACCTGGCCCAGAGGTTCTGCCAGCTCCCTGGGGACCTCAGGAAGAAGAGAAGCCTCAGTCCCCAGGTCCTCAAATTCCTCTGACAGGTCAGAGTCATGGCCACACTGCTCCTCTCCACCTCCCCCTTCCCCCTCTTCTGAGGGTTGGTCCCCAAGGCCCTTGGAGGTCAGGACAGCAGGATCCCAGGCTTCCTTTCTGGCCTCCCCTTGAGGGGAGGGCCTCTGTCCTCCAACCAGGTCCCACTTGGGGGAGGTAGGGGACCTGAGGTAGAGGCCCAGGGGAGTGGAGTCGGGAAGGGTTTCCCCTAGCTCATCGGCCTCGCTCTCTTCTCTGCTCTCCTCCCCCTCCTCCTGGAGGCCCTCAGAGATCTCCCCACAACCCAACTCCTCCTGCTCACTCTCTACCTTCCCCAGGGCCTCAGCCCCACCCTCCATCCCCCAGCTAGCCCCCTGGTTCCCCTCAGCCTGGGGCTGGGATCCAGGGACATCTTCCAGAATTGGGGTGGGCAACCAGGGTTCGGTTGACTTTGGGCTGGTGGGGCCCAGCACTGGCTGTGCATCTTCCTCAGCTTCCTCTAACCCCAGGGGCCTAGGCTGGGGGGCATCACTTTCATCATGGCTTGAGGTCTCAGCAGGGAATGCCTCCTCTGTTGCCCAGGGGGTCTCAGGCTCCGACTCTTCACTGCCCTTGGGAGACTCCAGGGGGTCTCTGCACATTCTGGGCAGTTTGGAGAGCTCTGCCTCCTCTAGGTCCTTTCCAGGCCCTTCCAAGCCCTGAACCCTCTTTGCCTCCAAACTTTCCTCCCCCAGGGGCTGCTCTATCATCTCCTCTCTGACCAGGCCTGGGTCCTCCAGCCCTACCACCTCCTGCTTCAGTCCCTGCTCAGCTCCTGCAGCAGACTCACCCATGGCTGTCTCTGACCCTAAGGTGACCTCTGGGGAGGGTTGATCACCCCCTGTGGCTGCATTCTTAACTTCCAGCAGGGACTCTATCACCTCTGGCATTCCCTGCGGAGCTTGGAGGCCTAGGGCCTCTACCTGCTCTGGCTGCCCTTCAGGGTCCTGGAGGCCCTCAGTGCCTCCCTTCCCACAGGCTTCCTCAGCTGGGCCCCTCTGCTCTTTGGGCCCAGGGCTCCTAGGGTGCTCCTCGCCTGAGCACCAGGCCTCCCCTGTAGCATTCAGCCATAGCTCTCCCTGCTCTACCACCTCTTCCTTCCCAGGGAAGCTGTCTTCCTCCCTCAGGTCCAGCTCCACCTCATCCTCTCCACTTTCCACTACAGCCCTCCCGAGAGGGGGTTCCTGGCCCAGTTCTTGGTCTGTATCTTCCCCCCTCTGCCAATTTGCAGACTGTGGCAGCTCCTGTCTCTCTTCTTCCAGAGACCTCAGTGACTCTTGATTCTCTCCCTCCTCCAAGTCCTCTTCCTCTTTTGGATTCCCTTGACTTTCCTTTTCTACCTCTTCTGGAAATCTCAAATTCTCTAGGTTCCATTCTTCCAGAGATCTCAGTGGTTCTTGATTCTCCTTTTCTAGGAGTCTCAGTGTCCCTTGGTTTTCTTCCACAGATCCCAGTGGTTCTTGAATTTCCTTTTCTAGAGGTTTCATTGTCCCCTGATTCATTTCTCTTAGACAACATAGTGACTCTTGAGTTTTGAGAGATTTCAGTGTTTCCAGGTTCTCTTCTCCTGCAGATTTCACTGATTCTAGGTTCTCTGTTTCTAAAGATCTCACTGCTTCTACACTCTCTTCTTTTAGTGACTTTAATAACTCTTGATTCTCTTTCTCAACAGGTCTAGCTATCTCCTGCTCTTTTCCAAGAGACTTCAGTGGCTCCGGATTCACCTTTTCTAGAGGTCTTACTGTCACCTGGTCTTCTTCCCCTGGATACCTCGGTGGCTGTTGAATCTCTTTTTCAAGAGATCTCAATCTCTCTTGTTCCTCTTTGTCTAGAGACCTCAGGGGCTCCCGATTCTCTTTTGCTAGAGGTTTCGATGTCTCCTGGTCCTCTGCTTCTTGAGGTATCAGTGGCTCTTGATTCTCCTTTTCTAGAGCCCTCAATGACTCTAAGTTCTCCTCTTCTAGAGATCTCACTAATTCTTGATTCTCCTTTCCTGAAAATAAAAATGTGTCCAGATTACCTTCAAGAGACATCATCAGTTCTTGATTCTCCTGTTCTAGGGATTGCAATGTCTGTGGGTCCTCTTTTCCTATAGGCTTAAGTAGTTCTGGAGTCTCCTTTTCTAGAGATCTCACTACCTCCATGTCCTTTTCTTCCAAAGTCTTCACTGGCTCTTGATCATCCTTTTCTAAACTTTCTAGTGTTTCTAAGATCTCTTCTTCTAATGACCTTGAAGATTCCTGATTCTCCTTCTCTAGCATCTCATGGCTCTGGTTTTCCAGAGACATCAGTGGCTCTTGAATTTCTTCTCCCAGAGCCTTCAGGGTTTCTTTTTCCAAAGGACCCTGGAAATCCTGGATTTTCTTCATGTTCAGATCCCCTTCCTCTTGCCATGTTTCCTGCTGCAAGTTGTTCACCACTCTGACCTCTATAGCTGCTTCTTTCTCTACCAGCCCCCTGATTTGCCCTTCATCTTCCTCCTGGAATATGTTGGACACTCTAGACCCACTAGATTCTCCATCTTTAGCCTCTAAACTAGGGTGGTCAGGGCTGAAGGGTGGGGCCAAGGAGGCATGATCCTCAGGGGACTGGCCTGAACTGGACTCTTGCCCCTTGCCCCCAGGCTCCTCTGGTCCTGGCAGGATGCTGGTAGGGGTGGCCACCTTGGCTTCAGCCCACAGGGGCTCTGGAGCCTGTTGCCTCCCACCCTGTGTCTGGAGAAGAGAGAGAGGGACATCTTGGGCTCTGATTTCTGCATCCATAGCAGGACAGGAAGCCTGAGGTGTAGGTGGGGTGGGGGTGCTGGCCAAGGTAGGGGCATGGGCCTGGAGAAATTCCTGGCTCTTCAGAATGGCTGGCACAGGTGTCTCAAGGGTAGCAGGCAAGGGTGAGGGGAGGGGAATTGGGCTCAGGACAGGGAGCAAAGGTCCAAGCCGCCGGATCTCTGGGGTCCCATGGAATTGCAGCTCCAGCTTGGGGTCTGGAAAGGCAGAAGGGGAAGAAACAGTGTCAGTGAGGGGAGCCACAGAGCAGCCACCACTCTGGCAAGAGTGCCCATGGCCCTGTCCTTGGCTCCCAGTGTCTGGGCTGAGAGGATGCGCACTGCTGCTAGGGGCCAAGGAGTTAAGACTTAAACTGGTGCCTCCAGAAAGGTAGATCTGGGGCATGAAAAGCGAAGGGTAGTTTTGAGGAAAACCTGGCCCCCTCTCTTACCCTGGAAGCTGAGGGAAGCCTTGGAACCACCGCCAGGTGTCTGCAGCCGGGAGTTCTCAGCCTCCAGGAGGGTCCTGGGATGAGGGAGGAAAAGCTGGGTCAGCCCTTTGCCCCAGGCCTGCAGGCAACAAGCCAGCCAGGGAAATGTAGAGCTGGCACTGCCACCCACTCTTCATTTTGACCACTATCACACAAAAGCCACATGCAGGGTGAAATCACATGGTCACATACCCACAGACATCACACTCTGTCACACAGAGTCACAGACATATTTGAGACAGACAGCAGAGCTCACAGACACACAAGCAGATTCCCTCACAGTCGGATGCTGCCACGGGCACACCCACAAATTGCTTAGACTAGTCTCCCCCCACATCCCAGGCCAATGACCTCATCCTTGGTGTGGGGGACCGATTATCATGCTAATTGCTGCCATTGTCCATGCCGCCATCTGGAGGGTCTGAGAAGGGGGGCTTTTCAGGGGAAGTGGGAATTCCCAGGCCGTTCCCATGGGATGGGCTCCCTCCTCCTCCCCTGGGGCCCCAGAGCTGGTGACAGACAAAAGCAAATGAATTCAGCTCCCTCTCTCCAAATCCTTTTCATGCTTCAGAAACCAGTGGTTAAATTCCTCAGAGCCTGCCCAGCCCCTTCACCTCAGTGCTTTGACTGAGGTTCAAGGCCCTCATCTTGGGATCTCCCAGCACTCTGGATCCCAAGCTCTTTAGGTCTTTGTCCAGGCCCCTGCCTCAGTGCCCCTTGGAGCCGACTGGGGGAGGAGGGAGCCACCAATTCATCAAGTTCTGCTGAACTGCTCTCTGCTCTTTTCCGTGATCTCTGAGCTGGTTGGCACTCGCTGTAGCCTCACCTCTGTCCTTCCCAATGCAGTATCATTCCCTCTGAGCTCTGTCCCTGTGGAGGAGGAGCCCCTCTCTTCATGCCTCCCTGCATGCCTCCTTTTTGAGGCTGCCCAGGGACATTATCCACTCGGTGTGAGAACATACACAGAGTCTTGGGGCTCTTCAGCCACTTGGGGGAAGGGTCTGGGTGCAGATGCCCAATATGTGTCCAGCCCCCTCTCCTGAGGCTGTCCTACCCAACAATATCACCTCCCCTAGGGGGATTTCCTGAGCACAAGACATTTCTCTGGTCCTGAATCCACAGGGGCTAGTTCAGGTGGGAAATATCCTGCTGTGGAAGTGACCAGCCTAGAGTCACAGAACCCAGTGGCAACAAAGATGACACCACCTGTGCCTCTGGGCCCTTTTAGCTGAGAAGTCTGCCCCAGCACACGTCTGTGCATCTGTGTGCCTGGGCAGGTCAGGGCCTACCCCTACCTGTATGTGGCCACCTCCAGGCTGAGGGACATCTTGAGGTGTGCCAGCTGCTGCCGGCCTTCCAGGACCTGGGCGATCTGGCTCTGTAGGCCTTGTTTCTCCTGCTCCAGGGCCTCTACAGTCAGCTGCAGAGCAAGCCAGAGGCAGTCAATGAAGGAGGTGGGGTCCCTCCTGCTAACTAACCCGCATCCTCCTCGGCTGCTGTGGCAGCATCTTCTGCTCCCTGACCGACTTCTCTGTAGAGCAAATCCCTCCCTCCCCTGCCCCTCTCCCTGCACAGAGAATCCCCTCTAGTTCCCCCCAAATGAGCACAGGGGCCCCTCTCAGCCCTCTCCCACGGCTTGGCTCCTCTGAAGACGATGATTAAATGGTAGCACATGTTGCTTAGAACTCAGCTCCCACAGGAAGGGGGTGGTGAGGGAAGAGAGGAGATGGGTTACAGAGAGGAGGAGGGGGAAAAAAGTGGAAGCAGAAGGAAAAACGATTAATCAAGAGGACTGGAGCGTGCAGGACTGGAAGCCAAACAGCTCCAGTCCCATCGCTGTCTCCTGTTCCTCACATCAGCCCCCCACCCCCCACTTCCCACATGTTCTGGAATCTTTCTTCTCTGAGAGGGGGGGTGGGGAGGTGGCCATGTCGAGACCTCTGTCTGGAACAGACAAGAGGCTGTTTTCTCAGCTGCTGGTCACATCTGTGCAGTGTGAGGGGGAGCAGCTGTCCTAGGCCTCTGGAATGTGCTCCAAGGAGCCCAGAAGCCCTGACACGGGAGAGGTGCCGCTGACCACTCATCCAGGACCCCTCACCCCTCCCGTCAGGGGGAAGGGGACTGTTAGGAACTCGGGGATTCTGAGCGGCCAGATCATGAGACTTAGCATTTTGGGGGAAATGCTGGGCATCTACGGAGGGATAGCAGAGCCTAAGGAGGGGCCCAGGGAGCCACCTGGTAGGTGCCATCCAGAGAAAGAGTGGACTTCTGGAACGGTTCTTGGGCCCGCCTGCCTTTCCAGGGATGTGCTTTGAGAGACCTCTGAATCCCTATCATTCCCATCCTACTCAGGGCCTGTGGCACCAGGTATGGGTTTCCTGAATCGGCAGCCACCCCGCCCCACTCCTTTCCCAGAAAGTCTCTGAGCCTCACAGGGACTTCCTGAAGCGTGGTCTCACCCAGGTCCCCGACCGCCTCACCTGGAACTTCTCAGTGGCTCGCAGCCGCTCCTGCCAGCGGCCCTCCAACCTCTGTTCCAACGCCGCTCTGCGCTCCTGCAGGCCACAGCGCTCCGCCTGGAGCTGCTGCAGCTCCAGGCGGCCCTCGCGGGCACCCTGCACCGCGCGCCCCAGCCGCTCGCGGGCCTGGCCCAGCGACGTCTCCATGTGCTCCACACGCTCCTGGTAGCCGCGCACTGCCCCGCGCCACGCCTCGCCCAGCCGCCTGGCCAGCTCTTCCACCTCGGGGGCCGGCGCTGGGGGCCCGCGGGGCGGCGCGGGACCGCGGGGGACACAGGCAGCCTGCGCGTTCAGGCCGGCGCGCTCCTCCTCGTGCGCAGAGCGCAGAGCCTCTAGCTCGCGCCCCAACTCCGCCGCCTGGGTGCTCAGCCAGGCCCCGGCGCATTTCTCCGCCTCGACGGCGCGC